TCACTCTTAAGAAAGTGAGAAAAGTTAGGATGAAGCAGATGTCCACTATTCTTTAACTTGGAATACTTTTATATGTGGTATTCCTTCGTACGGATAAAAGAATATTGTGATACGAAGAAGTTAGAAAAGAATAAAATGAGATTTTTAAATATTCATGTATATCACTAGTGTTTCTTATATACTTATAATAGAGCTGGATATATAGAAATTTTGATGGGTTATTGAGTGTCTTATTCTACCTAGCATGTTGATTTTGAGTACATCTGTAAGTCCTGCTTCGGTTTGGGCTTCCGAGCAGTATCACAGCCCTCACACAAATCAAATGAGATTTGTGCGGCACATATATATCTGGTGCTTCCTTGTACCAATATTTATGTGTTTAAATTAAATTTAAAAAACACCTGTAAGTGATTTGGTGTCATGTACACTCTTCTTTTGTGTTATATGGTTTAATCCATTCGGTCGGGATTCCTATACTCAAGTTTCATGCTATTTAGGGAGGCATATCTCTAAAAAGTTGATGCTTTAAGTGGAACAGATACCCATTATATCTAGTCTTTAAAGTAAAAGTGCTGCTACTAATATGTTTGGTCAACGACTGTACTCTTGTTGATAATAAATGTTCACTTTTTAAGAGGCACATCGGTTCTAAAAGGTTTGGGGTTGGACCGTAATGTCAAAAGCCAATTATTTCTAAATTTTAATCCTGATCTACCAACAGATTTTCGCGAACCACCTAACTTCTAATGCAACTAGTTTGTTACCATTAGGATTACTAATTTGATTTTTTTTATTCAGAATGTACAAGAATGATATCATAACAAGTTATTATTGATTATGTTTGATATTTCTTTGACAAGCTATTAAAATTGTTTACACACAAAATTTCTTGTTTGTAAATGTCATCCCACCAATATTTATTATCAGTTTACACGTCATTTCTATGTTGTATATAAATGTTTTATATTTAGATTACTTAATAGACGTTTTCCTCTTGTGTGTTATGTATTTCAGGAAGCTTCATCAAACTTTTTAAAAAAAATAACAACAGTTTTCAGTTAGTCTTGTGCTTCGAAATAATAAAATTATGCATATATTATTCACTAATTTAATAATTAATCATGTTACAGTGAAAACATAGTATTTTCATTAAGAAAAACTGATTTGTAATACCGTATTATAGTACTTACCCCATAAATAAGCTAATTTTCATCAAATATATATGTATGCCCAGTTTTAGTAAAGTGATATTCATATTACTTAGGGATTATTTATGCTGAACTTAGTCGGTAATTGGGATTCCTAATCTTAATCAAGCTGCTAACATACTATAATCTAATAGAAACAAAATCAATACATTAATTGTAAAAATTAGTTGAGCGTTTTAATCTGTTGATCGAATGGATTCAATAATTAGACGGTATAATATTGATTGTTAATTACGTATCGATCAATATGAATTAATTTTGCTTCATAAATTTCTTTTGTATTTGTTTTGAAATAGAATGCATTGCTTTATTCTGTGCAAGCGTAATAAACATTGAACGGTAGTTATGAAATAGTGCTTCATTAGTAGATGGGCTAGGATATCAAGTTTAATAATGAAGAATATAGTGAGCGGTGATTCCAGTGGTATAACATGGTAATTATAATTATATAAAACTAATTAATAGAAAGACAAGACGGAAGCACGAAACGGTAGCAAGAATTACTATGATAGATTGTTTGTCATATGTGTGTTCGGATGCTTTGTGACCAGGTGATATAGACATCCTTTTAATAACATAGGGAATGACACAATGATAATAAAGTTTGAGACCGACCATGAATAATACAAAGAGAAAAACACGAATAAATCACTTTTATTAATAAATGAGGTTTATGTAGTCTCTGGTGTGAGCAGTATCAGAGGATAGGTAATCATCAGTGCAGCGTGCAATCAGTGTTGGTGAATCTTTTCCATGCATGGATTGTTGTAAATTATTACAGACCTACAAAAATTTACTTACAACTTAATTCATATTGGAAGTAGATTTGAATGAAAGAATATCACTTTTTATAAATTGCTATAATTCGGTGTTCCTGCATAGTGGATAATATTGGTGGATGTAAGATATAATTTATTTATTATTTTGGAGAATATTAGATTAGCACGTAACTATGATGAAATCAGAATTGGAAAAAAAGATCGGCAAAGCAAATTAACGCACATTGAGTAATGTAATTTCTAAATTTAATTTTCAGAATCAGTGGACAACTTCATTAATTCTCATTGTATTTCACCTTGTATATGACTTAGCATACAGGAAATGCTTAGCCGTGCTTTAGCAGTCATACACATAGTTTATATAAGGTATAACAGTCAAATGACCTAAAGTACTATTTTTTACCACACCACTTGAGATCAGAAGAGCGTCTGATACAGAGGAGTATATTTAAACTGCTTCGTGTGTGTAACTGAAAAAAAAACCATGCAAGCAACGCTTCTCTTATTCTATAAAACGTATTTAATTATAAGAAGCTAGTGGTTAACTTTTCAAAACGTTTTAGAAATCCTAAAGTACAGCACTTAAACTCAATATCTGAAACTATGTTCTGTACAAACTAAGTTAATGAGGTCAAAGTGACAAATCATGTGAAAAAAGCCGTGTTGTGAATTATTGATAAGTTTTCCTGCATTTTGTCGTATATAATATTTTCCTCTGTTCCACGGATAACTGGAGTAATATTTATAGCCCTATACTTGTACAAATTAGTCTTATCTCAAGCTTTGCAGCATGCTATTTTATGTGATGCTTCACTAGTCAAGGTGTGCACTTATTTTTAGAGTAAGCGGAAACAGTTTCAAAATAAGCAATAGAATATCAGATTCTCTATATCTGAAGTAAATATATACAATCCTGTCTAATTCATAACTCTTTGAAATCTCAAGTGAGGTAATGGGTTTATTGATTTGATGATAAATGAAAAAAAAGGTTGTTTAAAATTACTAATCAAGTGTATGACTTCTGACTTATTATTCTAAATGTTTATTATTAGTTACAAAAATATTACTGAATAGGTTAGCGATTGTCTTAGCATCATTTATAAATGAACCATTGGGGAAACATTTCAAAGAATGTATGCACTTTACAATAATATTGCAGGGTAATTGAATAAGAAGAACTAATTTTTTAACGGTTTGAATCTACTGTTAAATGTTGACAACCTTTTGAAGCAATAAAATTCATACTTTAAATGAGAATTACAAAACTGAATTACTTGTTCATATTACTTTACAATTATAAAGTAGTGCCTAAAACAACATTCAATACTAATCAAATTGTCAATAAATTATAATAAACTTTATAAATTCTATTTTCATTACTACTAATAAATCTTATCATCCAACATTCAACATCTTTGAGTATATATTCTTACCAAACTTTCAATAACTCTATAACAGTAAACTTTAATACTCATTTGATAAAAGAATTTTCATTCTAAAATGTGTCTGGGTGATTTTTTTATGCGATCTAAAACAAATGATTGTCCTGTTTTGCATCAGTGAAGTTTATTTAATTGAAGTAAAAATGAAGAGTGAGTAATCCATTGAAGAAATAACCTCTTGGTGATTTCATCTTACTTTAAACCCCTATTCTAATAATATTCATAATGTACACACTGGTGACTGGTTTCAAGATGAATTCCCTGTCCATTGCTTCCGGGTTTTCAATGGTGATCTAGCTTATATCGACTCATGAATTCAACTATTAAAATAAGCATTTTAAAAAACAAATGTTGTGATGTTTTCTGTTTATAATAATAATAATGATAATTTACGTAGTAGTATAGCGAAGTAAGAATATTTTTTTCAAATGTTTTTCTTCTTAAAAGAATAAAAAGAGAGTTGTTATGAAGTTCGAAATATAAGTCAGTAATGAAAAGATGATTACTTTAAGACAACCTGAAAAGTTAATTAGAGACAATAAAAAAGTAAAAATAATTCCATTTGTGTTATATGACTGAATGAATATCATAGAGTGATAATTTGTATAACGATGGACTATTGCTATTCTAAGCGAAAAAACAAGATAAATTTCCTTTGTCTGCATAAGAATTTCTTGTGTATACGTTAAAGGCTTTAATATAATACATGCAAGAAGATAATACGCCTATGGCAACTTTTCATTAGCTTTGGAGATAATAGTGAATTATGAATTTGTTATGATTAAATGACTAATCTACTTAAGGTGTTACATTGTCACGCAAATTGCAGATCTTTTTCTTTTTTTTCTCTCACCAATAATAGGACAAGTGTTCTCGAACATTTTTCTTGAACAGTGTTAAGAACATAGAATGATCAATTTAGTTGGTTTAGAGAGATCGAATGAAATTATCACTACAGGTCATTTGAACTAGTTGTTTGTGTAGCTTGCCCTCTGACGATGCATGTCAAACACTTATCTAAATACCAACAAGAGTAACTAACTTTTAAGGGATTTGCAAATTCATATTTATATGCAAAACATCTCTAGTATAATTTACAGTGACTGGATGGGAGGTATCAACCGTATACTTTTTCTTGTCATCTTTATAGCTATTTATCTTCAAATAATACTACAAAGCATTTCTATATTTATTGTTTAACGTAGTCACATATGCCTAGTATATATGAAAAGAAGAAATAACTGAATTAAAAGTCAACCGTTATAAATGGTCATAAAAGTGTACGGAATGAATATATGCTTCTTTTTAAATAATCTCATTCACTTATTATACTTCTATGTGTCTGAACTTGAATCTCTATATAAGTTGATCTTTTTCAATACCTAAAAATAAATTCTAATCCTAGTAAATAAAATTATTCACAATTAACTTTTAACAGTTTTTCAAATGTTTGTGTTTTCTTAAGTCCTTAAAATCAATCTCTTTTAACTATTGATCAGAAAAATAAATTCAAAACAAATATGCTTTCAAGGATTAATATTTTAATGTTACATTTCTCTTCTTTTCTCTAGGTACACATGTTATGGAAGGTTCTGGTAAAATGGTTGTTACGGCTGTTGGAGTGAATTCACAGGCCGGTATTATATTTACATTGTTAGGTGCAACTGAAGGAGACGGTTCATCGGCTGCCCCACCACCTCCCATTAATTTAGCTAATGCTAATGAGATGACAGAAATTTCAAGAAATACAAATCCATCACAACAAAATTATGATACAGATGGAAAACAACAACATGAAATAAATAAAAACCTCAATGATCAAATTAATGGAAATAAACATTCAACTAAAGGAGGTGGCCATGTTGCTTTCAGTGGTACATCTGATGGTAAATAAAATTTGATTAGTAGTAGATTATATAAAAAATGTTTATTTTTGAGGAATATTTGTAATTTGTTCCCATATATGCTGAATTATAGTAATACAAAGTTATTAAACACCATTTCAATTTGCTATGAGTTGTTGATAGTGAATGTTAATTACACATCAGTCAAATACTACTAATGATAATCATATGAATAAGTCATCGAAATGACTGAAAGCAAAAGAAACGAAATTTATTTTTGTAAATACAGTTCCTTGTTCAATTATTAAGTATGGTTTAGACACGGAATTTTCATCACAAGTTAAAATTTGGTCTTAAAATATGATTATTTCTAGTATAAATGGTCTATAACAAGTGTCATTATCGGTATCCAGAAGTCTTAGTTAGAATAGCATGAAATTTGTATTCTCTTCGATCAGAAGTGAGGAATTAACACACTGATGACTTAAAAATTGAGTTGTATATGTTATGTCCTTAACTTAAACGATTAACGCGAAACACGATAGCCAAATTAGATTCGCCGACTCATACGAAGAATCTAATGACGCATACACTAGTACAAGCTGCATAGAGTCTCGATTGATCCTTTTTTCGCCTAGCCCTGCCTGTTAAGTTCAGAATGCTAGTCTCAGCTTCCGTGATACGAATCATATATTTCAAACATACTTTGTTTATATACAAGCAAATCAGACCTCATCTTACCATGAAATGGAAAGTAACATTTGTACAGGATCAAGCCAGAAAGGTGCTGTGATTGTGAGAAACTATTACTAATCAATTGGGAATATCCCAACAATATGAAAGCTTATCACGAAGGAAATATAAATATACATATAATACAGTCACTTGATAGTTATACACTTAGAATATACGTATATATATTAGTCCATAAATAGATCCCAACAGCTACTTTTCATCATTCTCGTCGGGATATAACAGTATAAACTATAGTATAACTAAAGTAATGAAATATTATCCTACAATTTTATATGTACATTATAGAAAATCCATGATTAAATACATTTCATTACTCTATTTAAACGTTTACTGAAATATTCTATTATTCACAAGTCATATCAGATATTTTAACTGAGATCATGAAAAATGAATTAGTTTCAACTTATTGAAGTTATGTCATAACACGTAAATTGGTGATTGTTTTATAAACAGATGTTATTCATAACTCTTAAAAATTCTTCTAAACATATTGTTGTGAAACGATAAAGACAAGTGAAGAAAACTAATTTATAGTTTAATGCACAATTATGAAGGGTGTTTTTGTAAAACATGTAAACCAGACATTAAATACATACATTATACACACATCTTCCTTCAGTTATCTTTTTACACACTTCATGATTCTTTCAATTCTGATGTTATCACAGTTGCTCTCTCTCTCTGTTTACATTTCTGTTCTGTGCAATCGAATCATCTGATTTTTCTGCTGGCATACATTCCACTTCAGATTGGTGTTACATACTACTTATATCTGTTAACATAAGCAGCATAAACTATAAAATATACTTAAAAATAAAGAACTGACTGAGAAAACTTATATGCATTTAGTTTTGTTAAAACACATAATCAAATAAACTATTGTTATGAATATTACTATTATAATTATTGATCTGTTCTAGGTAATCTTAAAATAGAAATTTAATGGAGAAATTTTCTTCTCCTGCCTCAAATTCATAAATTCACAAACTCCACTAGTTACGATTTATCTGTATACATTTTGGAACTATCTCTAGAGGTCAGTCATTAGAGAGGATGTTATAATTACCAGGACAGGCGGCTTGTAGAGCTTGCTGAATGTTATTGAGATCACGAAATTCACTCAGTTAAACAGGTATCAGAAAACAGGAAATATTAAGTGGCTGCTTCACCCTAGTAGTCGATTCTTAAACAGATTACATTCAAAACCACACCGGGAATCGAACCAAAGACCTTCAAGTTCTAAAGAATTAATTACATGTGGGTCAAGTACTCGCTGAGAGACCTAAAGCTATTGTGTTCGATTATTTGTAGGATTGCAGTTTTGAAGGGTTTAAAAGCCGTGGCGGGACTATAACGTATAAATGAAAGAATCACATTTAAGATAAGAGGTCCTGAATTTTGACGAGAATTTCATTCATCCAATTAGCTAAATAGCTTTTTGGTATTATAGGTTTTACAGGATAACTGTAAACCATTTTTGAGAAATCCACTTGAATCGTATTTTGAAACCCAACTTATCTTAGGTACAGTTGAAGTTGATGTATTGTTACTTTTAGGTTACGGTTTCAATTCCCATTCGGTTGACACTATCGGTTACAGCTTTTCTACACCACTCCAAGAAATCTATTTTGCAAGCACACTATTATCGGATAGACGGCTGATTTGTAGTCTAATCATGCTACTACTTCAAACTCATGTAGTTTATGAATTTTACTGGTTCCCTGAGAAAAAAAACGTCAGTCTGTGTTCCTTTTTGTACATATTTCGCTGCTAATGTGAAATAATCTCTGACATAAAAAAATTGACATGAAAACGCTGAAGAACATTTTAAGGACCCTCTAAATTATGACCTCATTTATAATTCAGTTGAATAATTTCATATTTTTGCTTTCCATTATAAGTTCCTCAGCTGGTAAAAATCCACTAACATTTAGAGGATATTGACTTAACACTAAGCTACTTGCAAAAAGTAATCATATTAACAAATCGCTTAGCGAATAAATATTTCTCTTCAAACGATTCAATCAAATCCTGTCATTAACCCAAATCAATCAGAAAATATCGAATAAAATCAAATTTTTACTTTTTGATTGTTTAAATTTTTAAAGAATAAAAATGCCCTTGTCATTCTAGGATATTTAAATGTACATATCTTGTATAACCTTGTATATTTGTGTTAAATTATCATTATTATTTTTTTGACCTTATCCTCAGGATGTGAAGTTCATGCTAAAAACAAGCCTCGTTAATTTGAAAACTCAACTTTAAGGTCAAAATTTCGTTTCGTTTCATTCTTGTATGAAATTTACCCATGTTCATACAGTGTATATAGAAATTCAAAACTATTTCATTACTTTTCATGACAAAAATAAAAGGAAGTGAATGAATGTTACCCTTCTCATTTAGCTGATTGTACCGTTCGTCAATGATTAACGCTATAATTATTTACAATTTACAAAATTCAACAAAAAACTGCTGCTCTTATTCGAGTATTTATTTGAACTCTGATTATTTCCTGGTTGTGCTATTTTTATCTTTGGTTTCAATAACCAACAAAATCATAGTAATAGACCAAATAATATGGGAAAATTGGCTATAGCTTCAGTTAAAAACAAATATCAAACCGAACTAGGTTCAAGGGTAGCTGTCAACCTACCGAAAAGTCTCAATGAACAATGGCTGCATTCGCATGGTGTCATGGAAATGGTGAGCGGAACTGACTGTAGATTTGCAAGACGGCCAGCTTAAGAGCACTAAGATTTTAGAAGCTTCTTAAAGGTACTTGATGCAAGTCAGTTTATTATGGCTAGTAGAGGAAATGACAGGTTTGAATGTTAGATAGTATCCCAGCATTATGGAATAAAGCGACTATTCCATATTTCTGAAAGGGCTTCACATCATGTATGCTATAATCATCAGGAGGCAACTTAACTTTCAAATGCATCCCAACCCTTTGGCTGCTATTATACTTCTCAGGTACTTTAAACTCGCGAAAGACCGTCGCGTTGGCCACAAATTGGTTCTCGTGGCTGTATTGATTTTATTTTTGGCCTCCGCCCAATTTTAGACCAAATGCCCTGGTATGGCCGAGAGTAGGCAGAGCCTGCCCTCCCTCTCGAAATGCTCTCACACGGCCACACGTTTATAGCCTCTGCCAGGGAAATTCTTCTAACTGCCTTAACGTAACAAGGGTGTTTTTTACGAAATTCAGACGATGAAATGCGAATTTACGGCTCTTTAACCGGGTCGGTGGACATGGAAAGTTCACCTAGGGGAGTTGGAAAACCCTGATTCCAAACAGATGATGCGCATGGGCTCCAGTATCCTGAGGGAACAAAATGGTGTATGAAGCAATCGTCGGTTACCGGCTAACATGGGACTGCATCTCTTCACGATCCTCCACTGCCTTGTGGATCAGACTCTTGGGCCAAGGGCTTGGGGTGTGACCCCCTAAGTTAACCACGTGCTTCGGTCTGGGCACCCAGACAGTATCATAATCCTCACACAATTGAAATCAATGACAATTTTTTGTGTGCCGCATATTTATCAGGTGCTTCCTTGTACCAATATCTGTGTTCAAATAAATAAATACTCTGATTCCAGGCACAAACAGATTTTGATAACACGCTTGTCTCCGATTCGTTGGATAGGACTGTACTTCATGATTGTCTGCTAAAGAAGTGTCCGTGAGAAGCTCATTAACATCTCGAAGGTTCTGTATACACTCAACTCGGAGGCAGGGAGGGAACTCAAAAATCTTTCTACATTACTTCATTCGAACAGTATTGATATACGGGATGGCTCAATTTTACTATTCCTCTTTAGCTTTGGCATCGATTACACTTTAGAAACGTCTGCAATGGAAGTAGATATTAGCCGTAAGGATCTGTTACGTCAAGAATTCTTTTCGGCCTTTAATATGCGGATGATATTTTCTTACTATGAGATGATACGCAAGCTATTCATTCCATACATAATAAATTCCCAATCGTTTTCCATCGGCATGGACTTCACTTGCACCTGAATGCAAAGTACTTTTACAAGACTGATAATAGTCTGTGTCCACAATAAACCTTGATGATGAACATTTCGAAGTATTCAAGAGGTTCTTGTATCTGGGTAGTTGAATGAATGATGGTGGTGGCGTGGTTGACAACGCATAAATTGCTGAGTTTCAGTGACTACACCTTGTTAGCTATAGGGAAGTTTGTTAGTGTACGTTCAGGCCCAGTGATTATAATTCACTTTCTGAAACCATTCTTGAACACCAGTTTTGCTGGCTTGGA